AAGACTATTCCAACTGGCCCACAATCCCGCAAGTGTACCTCAACGGCGACTTTGTGGGGGGCTGTGACATTCTTCTGCAGATGCACTAGAATGAGGACCTAGTGGAAGAACTGAAAAAGCTGGGGATCCACTCCGCCCTTTTAGATGAAAAGAAAGACCAAGACTCAGTGAGGGCGGCCAGGTCCTCGCTGAGCAGAGAGGGAGCCGTTCATGTCAAGATACTCACTGCCAGAAAAGCCTTACCGATTTTGGTTTCCACTACTGAGACAACAGCTGCTTGCATTGATCATTTTGGTTCGTGAGCAGTTGGGTGATTTTAGTTCGTAGGGTTTGGGCTAAGAATATTTTTATTGTGGACTTAATTACAGCCACTGCACTGGAATGATTCAATGCTGTATTATGATACTGCTGTAAACAAAACTCATTCTTATATTGTCGTTTATTCCTGGGCCTGATTCAGGAGTTAAATAGGAGCTTGGGAATCATTATTCATGACCCCTCTGCAAATGTGTCAGTCTGCAAAGACAGTATCTTCCCCCCAGATTTTGTGTAGCTTCTTTTGTTATGGAAAATCATGGGCAAAAAAGAAACTGTGATAACGGGGGGTGGGGTGTTGTTTTTTAAAATAAACTGCCAGCGCAGGGATGCTGTGCATGTCTGCATGTCTGAGTTGATCCTGAGGCACATATGTCTGTAAGGATTTGGAGTGCCTGCAGTGTTTTATGTGTAGAGTGATTCTCATATTCTTCTATTAAATTTGCCACAAGAATTGAAAAAAAAAAAAAAGAAGGAACTAAATAAACGAAGAGGCAGAAGTGAAACTATGCACAGGGAGGTAAAGGGGCAAAGTATTAGCCCAACAGAGCCCTTCCACAGAGTAACCACAAAGTATGAAGGACAGCTACACCAGGAACCAGGGAGAGGGCTGTGACTGTTAGACCAGCCTGGCCCGTGCTTTACAGACTATAAAGAACCCATTCAGGTCTCTAGGAAGGTTAACGACAAGACAGAAACAGAATTTAGCATGGTGGGGTAATTTAAATAAAATTTAGAATAAGAAATCTGTTTTTCTGTGATTTCGAATTCTGTGATATTTGAACATCTGAATGAGTGGCACTCTAATGCCAGAACATGTTTAAGTTTTGAAATTAAGCCTCTTCTGTCAATACGTATAACTCCAAACTATACTATTTCTCTAGTAAAAGGTGATGGCATACACCATGGCAGAAAGCTTGAAACAGTATCTTTGAATTAATTATATTGTCTTATTCGCTGTACTCTTGATGTGCTGACATCTGGGGCCTCAATGGCCCGGATTAGCAAAATCCCAAAAGCATGTTTCTGATATGCAAACCAACCAATCCCAGATCCATAACCCCAACCATGTCCTTTTATGGGCTCTACGGCCCTGCCCTAATCACCCAAGGACCAGGCACTGGACAATCAGGGGCCACCCCCTACAGCCCAGTCAGCTTAAATTATTCAAACTATACAGTCCTAAACCTATATAGTTTGCTTCCCTGGCCTTGCCCATTCCTTCCTGGAAAAACCACAATAAAGGCTCCTGCCCTTAGTTCTGTAGCTGTCTCTCCCTCTTTCCTCTCTGCCTACTGATTTTGCTCTGGTGCTTCCCTATGTGGCTTTGTGTGACATTTCTATTTCTAAAGGACTGTGAGCATAACTAAAACATCTTCCTTCATAATAATCATTTTCATGTTTCTGTGCCTTACTACACCTGATTAAAACAAATCTCAGGTACCATTAAAATAACCTCTCAAGGCTGGGCACCCTCGGTAATCCCAGCACTTAGAGAGGCTGAGGCAGGCGCCGGTTATCTCAGCACTTAGGGAAGCCGAGGCAGGCGGATCTGGAGGTCAGGAGATCAAGACCATCCTAAATAACATGGTGAAACCCCACCTCTACAAAAAATACCAAAAATTAGCCTGGTGTGGTAGTAGGTGCCTGTAGTCCCAGCCACTAAGAAGGCTGAGGCAGGAGAATTGCTTGAACTCAGGAGGCGGAAGCTGCAGTTAGCTGAGATCGCACCACTGCACTCCAGCCAGAGCAACAAAGCAAGACTCCATCTCAAATAAATAAATAAATAACTTCTCAAGCCTGAATCCAGAAGGTCCTCAAGGTCATGTGAATTATTTGATCTTGAAGCCCATTCACCAGGTACCTTGTGTTTCTACACCAACCCTCCTTTCCCTTATGCAGGTAACTAATTCGAGTCATCACCAAAATACCCCTTCTGAAAAGAACCATTCAGAATTTTCTGTGACTCAGAAGTCATTACTGGAGTTCTGACATAAATTCACTCTTAACAGTAGACTCTTCACGTCACCACAAAACGCTAACTTATCTTCCATGAGGACAGCAGGTTCTCTCTGCCTTGTTCCCTGTTGTATCTCCAGCACCTACGTGTGTCTGACACAGTTCACACCTAATAAATGTGTCTGATGAATGAACGAACTGTAAAGAATAGTCTATGTTGATACAGACAGCCTATGAAATACAGCTTAGGAAGCAGAATAATACCAGCACTCCTAAGTGGTAGGCAGCACAGCAGCATGTTAAGAAAATGGGTTCTAGAGTTAGACTAAAGGTTAAATCCCTACTCTTCCATTTCCTAAGTGTGTACCCTTGGGCAAGTCACCTAACTCTACAAAGCCTCCAACATTTCATTCATAAAAACTGGGAAGACCAAACCTACTTCAGAAGGAAAGAATTAAACAGGCTAGTCCACGTAAAACATGTCAATTCCAGTGAAGATGGTAAATGCAAATTCATGTTTTGGACTCCCACACCATCATCCCATATCTCCATTTGAAATACAAAGCAATGATAGATGAAGTATATATTTAAAGGACAGTAAAAGTAGAGTCATAACCATAGTAAAAAAAAAAATATGATAGGCTGGGAGTGGTGGCTCATGCCTGTAATTCCAACACTTTGGGAGGCTGAGGTAGGCAGATCACCTGAGGTCAGGAGTTCCAGACAAGCCTGGCCAACACGGCGAAACCCTGTCTCTCCCGAAAAATGCAAAAATTAGCTGGGCATGATGGCAGACGCCTGTAGTCCCAGCTACTCAGAAGGCTGAGGCAGGAATAACTGCTTGAACCCAGAAGGCAGAGGTTGCAGTGAGCCAAGATCAAGCCACTGCACTCCAGCCTGGGCAACAGAGTGAGACTCTGTCTCAAAAAAAAAAAAAAAAAAGATAAACATCTCCATGAACCAACAACAGAAACTCTAAGTGGTGCACATATCTGAAGCAATAGGCAAAGGCAGCTGCAAGGTCAACTTCCAAAAGGTACAAGTGTTCCCACTAGAGAGGAAGGCAGGCAAAAAGGTCTGCTCACCGCCTGAGACCATCACCTGGACTGGCTGGTGGCCTTCACTGCACATCTCTTACTTTATCAGAATACTGCAGTATCTCCGATACTCTCCACATCTAAAAATTAGTTTCCTTTTTCCAAGGTTCCCCTTCAGTGCATCCCTGACTTACAAGGCAGACAGCAGCTCTCTTTACATACTCTTCTTTCATGCCTTCTTATCTCTTACCTCTATGCTTTCTTCCAGCCATTTCTTATTTACAGAATATCTCTACATTGTATCACTTTTGTGATGTAACACATCTTATTAATTCCACCTCTTCGCAAGGGAGCCTTTCCCAATTATTTTCAAATTGATAAGTATTTACTTCCAAACCCTTATAAACTATCTCTTTACATGCTTTACACAGCAGTATCCTACAAAGCAGCAATGAAGTTACTTAGCACCCAGAATGAAACATACAAATTACAATCTACCTTCTAAAGCCAGAGACAGAGGGAACATAAGCATAAATAAAAGTAATGCAAGTTTATTATTCATTCATATTTACTGTGCAAAATGAAAGTTTTATGAAGCTTTGAGTAATATATATAGTATTCTATTATATAGGCAACTAATCCTCTGTAAATGGTGTTGTATCAGTATCAACACCCTGCTTAGTCTAGAATTTAATGACGTGAAGGGAAGTTATTGAAACTTCTATGAGAGGGATAGGTTTAAGGTCTCTGAAAGGCTTTCCTGCTGCAGGCCAACTTAGTCCTTAGATCCATGACAACAAATGTAATTCTTAAAACATTGCTGGGCTTTGGAGAACACAGAGAAACTAACAAGGGACTAAAAAATGGTAGAAGAAGGAGGAGGAGTAAAGAGGGAAGCGGAAAGGAGGCATAAGACGAGTCAAAAGCTGATCCGTGAGCACCATACAAAAGAAAAATCTGCAGTGTCAAGGAGCTGATGCCAATGCTAGCGCTAGGATCTACAGGTGGCTGTTCCCTCCAGCCCCCAGTCCTCATCCATGGTAAGTTTAGGGAACTGAACCTGAATTTCCATTAATAAACCAGAACCCTCAATGGAGCTAAAGTGATCTCAATCAAGAGCATTCCCAGACTCCTGGCAAAAGCAAAGACCAATATTCTGGGAGAAACCAGGAGCCCAGGAGTTTGAGACCAGCCTGGGCAACAGAGGGAGACCCTATCTCTACAACAAATTAAAAAAAAAAAATTAGCTGGGCATAGTGATGCAAATATGTAATTCCAGCTAACCAGGAGGCTGAGGCAGGAGGATCACTTGAGCCCAAGAGGTCAAGGCTGCAGTGAGCTATGTTCACACCACTGTACTCCAACCTGGGCAATATAGCAAGACCCTGACTCAAATAATAATAATAGTAAGTCCATCCAAAAATCTAGAACTGCAGTTCACCATATTAATACTCAAGAAGAATCAGTGTCACCTCAATCAAGTTTTTTCAAGAAAAAAAATTTAGAAACTTCAAAACCCATGTATGATTTTTTTAAACAAATCTGTTCCTCAAACTAGGAACAGAAACAAAGTTATTTAATTTGTTATAAAATCTACCAAAAAGTTACAGAAAATATTACTCTCAATGTTTCACATTAACAAAACTCTTTACATCAAAAATAAGAGGACCCTTTATCACTCCCGTTTACCAATGTACTGGAAGGCTGAGTCAGGGCAGAGAGCAGACCAACTGGCAAGTATGTCCATTCCTTACTCACAGGCAATCTGTCTACCAAGAAAACAAAAACCTGTAGACAAAATGTAGGAATTAAACAAATCGCATACATTTACGTAATCCAGCAGTGGGAATGAATAAACCTGAACCAAATTTAAAAATATGGATAAATCTTAGAATTAATGTTGAGGTTAAAAGCAAGTCAAAGGTGATTATGTACCATAAGAGACAATTTCCGTTATAGTCAAAACCAAACAAAACCACACCAGAAATTACTTAAGGGTACAAATACATGTGGTAAAGCCATTTTTTAAAAGAAAGAGAATGATCAAATGCAGGGAGTGACTGCCACAGAGGTGAGAAAGGATGGTGGAGGAGCACTTAAGTAGCTTTTAGTTGCTAAAATGAGGAAGGGGGAGGGTGTCAAGAGTATGTGCTTTATTACCATTCTTCCTAACTTGGTTATAGATTCTTTAACCATTACATAAATAAAATAATTAAGTCAATAAAATAGTGCAAACAAAGATGGTCAGTAGATTCATATTTAAGTAAAACACTTACTTAAAGCTCCTACTAAAAATAACTCATTTACACGGTTTCATTCAAAGGAGGGTAAGCATAGAAACATACTAATCACTCCAGAATATGCAGCGAATCAATGTCTGTACTGTGAAAGGAGTACAGCTCCCGACGGAGAGAAGGGGAACCAGGGTTATGAGCGCCAGTCATGAAGCCAAGTCCCGGGCTAGAAGTTTCCCATGTCTTGTTTTTTTTCCATAAACCCAGAAAGCCCCTCACCGTAAGCCCCTGGAGAACTCTCCTACCGTAGGAGATCTTTCTACCGTGGCTTCCCCCTCCAGCCAGCTCTGCACCTGTTCCCATTAGGCCTCTTCTTTACAGCCATAAAAGTTCATCCTCTTACACCAACCTAAGCGTATACCTCTTGAACCACAAATAATTTCTCAGAAATCAGCCATGAACTTTCAAAACCTCTAATTCCGTTCTGAGTGCGTTCTCCAGGTAGGTCCCCGAAATCTGGCCACTTATCTAATATATTTGTACAAGAAAGACTTTAAGCTTAATAAATAAAAAACCACACCCAAACACTGTTTCGACTTTGAAGATATGATCAATGCACACAGATATACAGATGCATAAAAAGATCATAACCTCACTAGTAGAAAAATATAAATTAAAAATGAGTTTCTGCATGTCAGATATATACCTCATATATGTATGTATGTATGTATGTGTATGTGTATGTGTGTGTGTATGTGTGTATATATATATATAAAAGACAAATCATCTCCAACGTTAGAGTATAGGAAATTCACCTAAGACTTATGCATTAGTTTACATAACATTTTTGGGTATTTGTGTTTCTTTTTTTTTACTTTTTACAGGGCAGTTTCTCGGTGTGAATACACGATCTTTTGACGAGCAATTCAGCAATATCTACTATTGCAGATGTGCATATTCTTCCATTTAATAATTTCACATCTAGGTATCCATACAGGAAAAATTCTCCCACATGTTTGTGAAAAAAGAAAATCACAAGAAAATTATTTGCAGCACTGTTTGCAAAAGTGGGAGGGTGGAAGGAAGGAAATAAAGAAGGAAATATATGTCCACCAATAGCTTTTTTTATTTGTAGTCAAATAAAATTAAAGATCAAAAATACTTTAATTCCAATAAGAATTATAAAAGCAAAATGAATTAATCAAAACTTACTTCAAAAAGGAAGAGGATGGAGTCCAGCTCCTCCCTTTGTGACTTATTATTCCCTGGAATATTAAAAAAGAATTGGTTATCATGACATCGTTTAAACTTTAGGACATTACAAATTACGCTAAAAGGCAGCTTAAAACTAGTAAGCCTCAACATACATTCATTTATTCAAAAAATAGCAAGAGGCAGTGTGGAGAACCCATTAGGATTCTAAACAGACAACCGAGCCAGACTGATTGGGTCCACCTGGCGGAGCTGCCCACGTTTTCCAAGTTGTTACCAAACTATGATGGATAATTTATTCATTTCTCAGCCAGTTACTTATTGGCTTAAATTATGGCAGAATGCACAGCACAAAGAAAAATTTCTAACTTGGTAATATAAGTCATAGGGCAGATAACTATAAAAGTAGTATATCTTTTTGGGCATCTGCACACTGTCCTATTGATAGTAACAACAGTGATAAAATTTACAATGCCTGCAGCAGAGGTTACCATTTTTTGTCTTCTGTGTACCAAGCATTGTGCTAAGTGCTTGGCCTATATCATTTAATATAGAAATCAACATAAAGGATCAGATAGTAATATTTTAGGCTCTCTTAGAAATACTCAAATCTGCAGTTACAGTGCAAAATCAGCCACGGACGATACAAAAACAAATAGATATGGCTGTGTCCAATAAAACTTTATTTATAAAACAGGCAGCTATAAGCTATTATGTATTGTTTATAATACATAAATAAATGAATATGGCTGTCCAATAAAACTTAATTTATAAAACAGGCAGCCTAAGCTGTATACCCTGATCTAACTGAATCCCCACAGCTCAACAAAGACATTCACCAGAATGTCTATATGCCAGGGATCATTCTAAGCCTGAGGATACAGCCCCCCAAAAGTTAATATTCTGGCAGGAGAGGCAGTCTATGAATGAGTAAGTGAAGCCAAAAAAGATGGTATGCAATTCTGACTGGGGAAATCAGAGAACATCTCGCTGGTAAGGTAACATCTGAGAAAAGATCCTTTGAGGTTAGGAGGTAAGCCATATGGAAATGCGGGGGTTTGGAAGCAAGCCATATGGAAATCTAGGGGAGGTGTGTTCCAGACAGAGCAACTGGACAGTGCAAAGTCCCTGTAGCTGAGCATGTCTGGCATAGTAGGAAACCAGCCAGATGCCCTTAAGGCTGGAGCACACAAAGGGGAGAGCTGGCACAGCTGAGGTTGGAAAGTAGGTGAGGCAAAGGAAGGCAGATTAGGTGAAGCCTGAGCCAACTGTAATGACTAGGAATGAGAACCCATTTGAAAGTTTAGAAAAGCCAAGAATCACAATTTGACTCATATTTTTAAAGGAGGACTACAGCTGCTCTTTTGACAAGAAACTATGGGATGGAAGAGGGCACAAGTATGGAGATGGGAGACCATTTCTGTGGCTACTGCTGTATTCCAGGTGACGATATCAGGAGTTTCAGTGTTACCAGTGTAGGCAATGAGAACAGGCCAGTGATTCTGGATGTATTTTGAAGACAGAGCCAATAATTCCGGAGTTTGGGCCTGAATAACTGCAAAGACTGAAGTTATCACAAGATGATTTCATTATTCCTAGTAGACATTTTCTTTTATTTCTTTTTTGGGGTACACTGTCTTCCTTGCACTCCAATCAAACACAGATTATACTAAAAGCAAAAAACTTCAAAAATCTCACTCTGTTTTTATTGGTGCTTCATTATGATTCTTTGCAGTAGATTGCAAAAATGGCCACAACCAATCAGGTGCCTCATCCTGAATTTCTTCCACTCCATGACTGACAACTGCCTCTGTTCTACAGGAGCAATCAGGGCATCTGACAAGGAGTCCCTCGGTTTTTCCCATTTACCTCAAAATGTCTCCATATCCACACTATCCTCTTATCTGCTCCTCCTTACATAGAAAGGTCACCTGTACACTCCTCTCCGTGTCTCTTCTTTTTCCTTGACCTGTATCAACCCACTTCCCCCAACACCTGCATCTTCAATTATCTTCCCCTCCAGCTGACCCACTCCTCAGCCAGCAAACAGGCCAACGCATTCCTCAATAACTTTCCCATGACCAGGGTGAGATACAATGTGTGTCTTCACATCAAACTTTCTGAAAGGATATTTTCATGGGTCACCTTCACCAGCTCACCACCCTGTGACTCCATGTGCATCTGTCTGGATTCCGACCCACTCCTCACCTAGCTTCTTTCTCTCAGCACTCACTGACAACCAGGCTGATGAGTTCTTACTGCCCAGCCCAGCTGCCTTCAACTCTCTCTTCCCTGGGCCTCTCTGACAAAACCCCTTCCTGGCACCCCTCCCCCTAACTCCATTGCTTTTCTTTGCATATACCCAATAAAATAAGGAATTATCTAAAAGTTCTGACCATCACTATCTTTCTCTTAATACACGTTTTTTCTCTTGGCAATAGCATGATTTCACCTTTTTCTCCCAAGCTCCAGTCACCTATGTTGTACTGCCCAGCCAACACCTACACCAATGTGTCCCCAAGGAACCTCAAACACAGACTGCCCAAAGCCACTTTCACCCTCCTGGCTTCCAAATCTGGCTCCCCTCCAGGGTTCCTACTGCTAATGGCACCTCACAAAGCAAACTCAAGTGTCCTGAAAGCATCTTTGACTTCTCCCTTTCCCTTATAACCGAGTCACATAGATGGCAGAACCACTGAGACACAACACTTTTCCCTTAACTACTGCTTCCCTGGATCAAGCATCACCATCCCTCACATGAATGACAGCAGCAGATTCCAACTGGTGTTCTTGCCTCCGGTTCACGTGTTACTTTACAAGACACTTGTCATAGTAGCAAATGCTTTCAAGAGCTCTCACCACCTCAAGAACAAAGTCCAACCTCCTGATCCTAGAACTGAAGGCTCCTTGCAAGCATTATCTAATTTCTTGCAAATCTCTCTCACATACCTTTGCTGCAAGAAAAGGAAATGCATTTCCTCCCGTACACGTCCTAAGAAGAGCTCTACCTTTATTCATGTTCTCCCCTCCACCAGCAGTCCATTCCCAAGGCCACCTCTTCCCCAAAGCCTCATCCATACACTCAGCAGGAAGTCATCTCTCCCACTTCTCAAGAACCATGGAAATCTGTCTAAATCTCTCTTACAGCACAACTGACTTTCTAACTTTTTCAGTTATTTATGCACGACTGACTTTTTTCAATGAATGAATGATATCTACTTCATAGAGCTGTGGGGATTCAGTTAGATTCAGCCCACAGACTATATGAAAATGAAAAAAGATGGTGACAGCAGCCACTACTTACGGACCATGGACTACGTACCAAACTCTGTCCTAAAATGATAGGATACCTGTGAACCTGTTTAATGCTGACAGGAGGAAGCCGACTCAGAGAGAGGTTACTTTGCCCAAGAAGTACAGTCTGGGCAAATGAGAAGGGTGGGGCCGGGTTCCCAACCCAGTCTGGCTCCTCAGGCTACACTATCCTGCCACCTAGACACAGAACAGAATCTACAGTGTGGCCCTGTGGGTCTGATTTTCAAAGAACATAATCACAAACATATGTAAACGTAATACATTAACACTACATCTGGAAGGAGATGCAGGAGACCTTTAATAGTGGTCGCCTCTGCGCGCAGGGCCAAAGACACTTGAGTCTTCATTTCAGACCCTTTTATGGAATCTAAAACTTTTTAGTGATATGCATGTATTCCGTTTCTTTCTTTCTAAGTAAATTATTCCTTTGAAATTCATGTTTTCTAAGGGTTCCTTCCGCTATTTTTGCTAGCCATATGTTGTTCAATTAACATCTGTATAAGTGAAAGCTCAGGGGAAACAAAGATGCCACCCCATCCACCGTGCTCTCACAGCTTTGCTAAAGGCTTAGCAAGAAACAAAGCTTTAAAATGTTTAATTTGTGGCTCATTATATATACAACTATAAAAATTCATGAATGTTTAAAAAACTACAGAAATGCTTACCTTTTAATTTCAAACTATTTTCCAGTGTTATGAAATTTTCATAGAAGATGAAATATATCTGAGAATAGTTGGTCTCAAAAAACTGCTTAAGATCACTTGCATCCACATTATCTGAAAAGAAAAAGTTTCCATTTATGACAATTCACTTTATACAATTACCAGAATTGAGAAACAACCTTCCCAAAAACAAAGGCAAGTACAACTAGTTTCATTCCCTTCCAAGACAAAACAAAACAGTATTCCTATTTGAGAGTCAATTGCACCTTGGGTGCCACCTAAGAGTGTCAATTGCACCTTGGGTGCCACCCACCACTCAGCCCTGCTCAAGAGACTGTGAAGCCAATCCAGGAAGGTCGATGCTGATAGGGACCAGCAATGACAGACCAGCTAGAACGCTGGAGGTAAGTGGGGGCAGGTATGGGGAGGGACAACATGACTTTCTTTAGGGTATGAGGAAGCAGAGGTTCATGGGGGAGGCAGTTTTTGACACAGGCTGTGAAGAGGGATGAGTTTATGCCTCTGAAAAACAACTCTGCTGGTGGAGCTCCTAAATGGACCAATATCTGCTCCCTCCCCACCAACACAACTCTCTGGGAATGAAAAGAGAAATCAGCTCAAATGAACTAGCACATGCTCCCCAACCACAGGCTTCTAGATAACCTGCCCCCACTTATGTATGGACACTGCAGGGCCTACCATGTGTTCCTAGAGTTGCCCCTGTTGTAACAGACAATTTTGCTAAACCATAAACTACCAGTAGATAAGCAGGGGGTGGGGGGAACTTAGCACAGTGACAACTCCCACTGGGGCTGATTAGCAACACAGCCAGTTCTTCCGAGGGCCCTGATCAGCCTGGGTAAAACCTCACAATGCTGGGGGTCAAAGTAGTCATCCACTGTCAATACACCTTTGTACATTTTCCTCAGCAAACAAAGTTGTTTGTACCATCTACAGAGTCCTGACCAAGAAGTTAGCATTTTGGGAGAATACACTAGCACCTGAGGATAAGTAATATCAGCTTCCTGGAGCCAGGCATTGTAGTTCATACCTATAATCCCAGCTACTTGGGGGGCTGAGGCAGGGGGACCGCCTCAGCCCAGGAGTTTGAGGCTACAGTGAGCTATGGTTGAGCCACTGCACTCCAGCCTGGTCAACAGAGTGAGACCCCATCTCTTAAAAATAGAACAAAACAAAGCAACAAACAAACAAAAAGCTTCCTTAAAATTCTGCAAGGATTACTAAGAAAAAAATATGTTGCTCTTCAATCTGCACCAGTGTGGTACCAATTGCTTTTGCAGTCCTAACACTGTGAATCCATGTGAACATGATGATGTTCAAATTACATAATGTTAGCAGTATCGCAGATGATTCTGAAGAGTTGTTTTTCTCTGACAACAGTATAAGAGCTTGTCATGCAAAAATCTGCCCTGGCTCTTTGAAATAATCCATGTAAGGTGTTTATAAAGCCTAATGGAGCTGCCAATTTCACACTATATTTACTGCACCAAAATAAAGCTGGGCACAGAGCTATGAAAATTCCTAGCAAGAAACAAATTTACTATGTGAAACAGGTAGCAATGAAACTAGTATCATCTGCAAAGGTAGTTTCATTGGAAAAGAAAGAAAAAAAAAAAAAAAACTAGTATCATCAACCCACATGCATATTAACATTCCTATGACCTATACAATCTTCCCAAGAATCCTTGAGCCTTGTGCAGAATTTGCCAGTTCCAAGAAACAGTTCTGTACACTTCAACTCTAATGCAAACTGCTAGCCCATCTACCCACTAACTGAGCCATCTTCCTGAAGCCTGCTTAACTCAGCTGGCTCCTACTCACCCTCACTAGTCAGCTGAAACATCCCCACCTTACCGAAAGACTAGGTCCACGCCTCTGCTGTGTGGCCCCACTCTATGCTTCCTGTCACAGAATACATCACACTTTACTCAATTCTGGTGGAATTCTGATTGAATTCCTAACTTAATTCTGACTGAATGATCTGTCTCTTCTGTTAGACATATTCCCTGCCCTTACAAACCCACAGTGTATCTCATGAATCATTATGTCCCATGCATCTAGCACAATATTTAGTTCAATTTTTTTTGAATGAATTGAGAATTCATGAATTAGCCTACACATACAAGGATAAAATAATGACTACAACTTGTAAATCTACAGGAAAGAAATGGCTTAACCCTCAAATCTTTGGGGCTATCAAAAGACAAATTTCATCTCTGCTGAGGACTCCCGATTTCCATCTGCAGCCCTGACATCTTCCACTGCAGGCTCTAGTCTCACAGACCACTGCAGCTGATTTCTCCATGTGAGGGTCTTAAAGATCTCTCAAATTAAACGCATACAAAGGGAAGTTCTCCCTCAGATCCTGTTCTTCCCTCAGGCTTTTCCGTCTCAGTAAGCCAGAACCACCATCCACCCTGCTGCTCTAGCCACAGCCTGGATGTCACTCTTCATTACCCATCCCCAGTGTGCCATTCTGTTAGCCTACCTTTAACACATGTTCCAGCCCTGGACTGCTTCTGCTCTCCATGGCCCTGCCTGGTCTATGTGGCCATGAACCCTCACACAGGCTTTGACCTCTGCCCATTGCCTGGGTTCCCTGCTGCCACTCTTCTTCCATTCCCCATAGCAGCCAACACAAATATCTAATAGAGTCAATCAAATCAGATCACTCAGCTACTCAAAACTTTCCACTGGCCTCCAGTAGTACTTAAAATCTGAACTATTTACTATGGCTGATAAAGCCCTGACCAATTTCCCCCACCCAACACCAACGTCACTGCACACCACTCTCCCCTTCGCTCCCTATCCTCTAGCCACTGTGGACTCTTTCCATTCCCCAAACTTCCCAAACACATTCCCCACTTGGGGCCCCTGCAGGATGCTACCCCCACTCGCAGATCTTCAGGCAGCTGGTTCAGTAGCAAAGTATGAGACAAAATAACAAATATAGACAGTACATTTGTTCATCCTGCTTACATAACAGCAGAACTTCACAAAATCCCTTGCCAGCAAAATTTTACAAAGCCCCTGACTCAAAGACTTGGTGCACAGCCCTTCAGAAGAATGCCCTGAAGATGATAAGCAGGATACAGCACCAGTTCCCACATCTCCTGCCTGAATCACTGCATTTTCAGAAAAGATACATTCAATTATCTCAGCCCTTGCCTCTTCCTGTACATAAGATAATGTCTGACAGGATTAATGATTATGCCTCTATAATCTATAACCAGATGGACCCTCACACCCAAACCTGGGTAAGATTTTGCTCTAATGTAACTTCTGAGCATGTGTAGAGCACACCACCTGTACATACTGTGGGCTAAAGCACTACTTTGGAGCAATCTAACAGACTCTCTGAAAGACTCTCCCGGGTTGCAAACCTCAGCAAGACTTCTGAATCAAACTAACTTTAATTGTTTAAAGCACCAATTCTTTTTTAGTCAACAGGTCCCATCCTTCAGAACCTGGAACACACATGACTTCCTCAAAGAAATCTGCAAGTGCCCCCAAGTGTTGTGCTATAGCTGGAAGCTGAGCAATGCCATTTTATAAAAGACAAAAACTGTTTTCCAAAAATAAGTTACCCCATTCTCCTCGCAATAACTGCGGGCCTTGGCTTCTGTAAATAAAACTGCTAGTCTGCTCTGCAAAGTGCTCACTGTGTAAAGCTGCTTACCTTTTCTTATCAGTGACTACCAGAATTGTTGGCCTTTTCTTGCCGGTAATGACCAGAATAAGCAGCCCAAGTTAATTCCATTCTGGCTCCTACGACTTGTAATAAGTAACTAAGATCTGTGATTCCCACCCTACTCAGATAATGTATAAACTAATGTTTATCTTGACTTCTGTAAACCACTTAAGTAAAAATCGGAATGACAAAAGTCCCCTGGCCCTTGGAATCTCCGGAGCTCCCCCTCACCCTAGTCTTGGCCCAGGAGGTGATTTACAGAATCCACTAGCCCTCGAAATGTCTGAAGCCTTTCATCCCCATCCCCGCTCCTCACCCCCACTCCTAAGGTGGTTTTACGGGTATAAAAGAGTCTTGTCGCCCTCCATTCGGGGCCATGGGTTGGAGAGATGTGAGTCCTTCGTGGTTGCCGGCAATAAAGACCCTGCAATTTGGCATACTTTTGTCTTGGTGTTGACTTTCTGTGCTCGGGCCAGTAAAACAGTGTCACTCCATATTCCGTCCTCTCCCCGGCCCTCTGCCCTGGTAGGCTCTGCAGTGAATGTGCCTCAGACACAGAAGGCCATAAGCTGGCAAACAATTTCCCTAGCAAGGAGGATGTGGGTGTGCTGATGCAGTAAGCTGGCACAGAAAGCTACTGGAAGATCAACAAGTCCCCATCTTTCCCTCCCTTATTCCCTCATTCCCTCAGGCACTCATATATTAGCAACCCAAACAAAGAGGGTCCTCACCAAGTTTAAGGAGCCCTCTTTTACATAGATGTTCTCATGAGGCCAAATGTCCAGGTAACAACCACCTGTATCCTCAGCATCCAATGTCTTTCTTGTGGATAAGGCATTGGTAGTGCTGAGCTTAAGTACTCACTAACAAGACAACTAGATACATTTCAGGGAACCCAATACACAGTGAACTCAGAAGCGTAACACCTACAGCACACTAAGTTTATGTACATGTGGTGAGAACTCCTAATTGGTCTGAGCATCCTTTTCACGTGATTCCCACTGACGGCACTTCAGATGAGTTCAAATCATCCCTTTATTAATTTGCTGCCTCATTGGCTCCTAGAATCTAAGTGGCAGAGGGCAGAAATCTCAACTGCTTTATTCACTGTTGCATCCCCAGCCTGAAGAATGGAGCTTGGTACATGAAAGGTACTCAACACATTTGTTAAATGAATAGCCAAATAACAAATATCAGATATTTTATATCTTTACTTCAATATCTAGAATCATTTCTTTGTCTTTTTTTTAAAGACTCATGAAAAGAATTTATAAAGTAAGCAAAGATCTCAGGGAAGGCAATCACAGGCAATGGAATTTAGCATCCTGCGAAAAGAAACACGAGAAAGGATCAAAAGCCTAATTTTTAACAAGACTAATTTCAAGAAACAGAGAGAGATAAC